ATTCCATGCAAGGAATGGTTACGAATAGGATTTAAAAAAAAATCCATTACCACTATGCTTTTTATAAATCTAACCTCTGGCTGAATTCAGAGAGCAAGGCAAATTAAGAACCATGGTGGTACAGTGGTTAGAATGCAATATTGGAGGCTAACTCTGTCTACAACCAGGAATCCGATCCTGAATGAGTCAAAGTTGACTTGGCCTTCCATCTTTCGAGGTCGGTAAAATGAGGACCCAGATTGTTGGGGGACATATGCTGACATTGCAAACCACTCAGAGAAGCTGTAAAGCATTATGGAGCGGTATATAAGTCTCAGTGCTATTGCTATTGCTAAGCGCTAGATTTCTGGTTGCATCATTTCACTAATGTTTGTAAAATGTATGAAAGTAGCAACAAATGTTTTTTTTTCACAACGTTTGTTGTCAAAGAGAGGATGGAAAGTGTAATGCTTTACAATTTAGGAAATCTGAACATAATACACAATTTTTAAAATTACAATATATTCCATGAAGAAAATAGATAAATTATTTCTTTCCTTCTTTTAGAATATTAGAACTTGGGGTCATAGCTAATAAAATTGACTGATAGTGTATTCAGGGCAAATGAAAGAATTGGATAGATAAACAAGGAATGTTTAATTAAGGAATTTAATTAAAATTTGTTTATGATCATTGGTTTAGATGACAATAATAGGAGTATCAATCACTGGGTGATAGTCATGGTACTTAGAGATCTGAAGAGTCTAAGAACCAAAGGTCTCTATGATCTTACTGAACTTCTGAGTTAAACTTGTATAAACATATGGATGGATGCATACTCACAAGATTACTTTTCTTTTTTCTATAAGATATTTTGGCTTTGTCACTGGATTTTAATGTATGCCTTTTATTTATTTTACAAGGAAGAGGGAGGGAGGGAGGGAGGGAGGGAGGGAAGGAAGGAAGGAAGGAAGGAAGGAAGGAAGGAAGGAAGGAAGGAAGGAAGGAAGGAAGGAAGGAAAGAGATTGCAGACTTTCTCGATTTTGCTTACATTTTATTTTATGAGGGCTAAGGTAACATATGTCAGGTCATCTGCTAACGGGTTATTTACTTCCTTTTTCCATATTCTTTACCGTGTGGTTAATATCCCAGATTCAAACTAAAATATTTAAAAGGAATAGTTGGATTTTGACTCCAAACATCTCAGTAATTTTAAAGAATGTATAAAGTTAAACATTGGGAAAGGAAATATTTGTGTTTATTCCTTTATAATATGTGACATCAGAAATAAAATATTTAACATGCAAAACTGAACCATAGTGGCTATTAAGGAATGTAGTACTAAATCAGACAAGAGGCCTATTTGTTCCAAAAAGCTACGATTAAGCTTGAAAGTAGGATATGAGTACAATAGCCAGTTCAGGCTTAAGCTCCCCAGTGGCTGTTAGCAAGAGAGATGCTGCCTTTGATACTGGAGAAATTACATAGGCTTCATGATTAACCTAACATATAGTATAGAACAGATATAACAGATAACACCTAATATGACATATAGCATGGAATAACAATTTTATCTCAGTCATAGACCAGCATAATCTTCATGATTAGTAGCTTTATTCTTCATGGACCTGTCTAATCCTTTTAAAAAAGTGTCAGATGCCATCAATGCTCGGCAGTAGCAAATTCCAAGCTTTACTACACATCACATGAAGAAGCATTTCTTTTTATCCATCCAGAAATTTCCACCCTTACATAGTATAATGAAAGATGTAGAAACCTTTTTTTCCAATTGATATTTTTCACAACATGCCTAAATTAGTAGGAGTCTACCATATCCCACCCATCTCCCCCTTCTGCAGTACACTAAAAAGTAGCATATTCAATTGCTGGAACATTGTGCTTTTCCGTAGCATCATGAATAAATTCTTATTTTAGAAGAAAAATGCTTGAAAATGGAGGGAACAGCTCTTGAATTAGCCCTTTTTGGGGGAAAATACAAACTCTTTTGAGACAACACAACCTATTTTGCACACACCTACAGTTACCTATTTTCTGATCAAATAAATTATGTATGTTTTTACACTTTCCACATATAGATTTTCTTCAGGCTCTTGATCATATACTTACTCTTTTATTACTCTTTTCCAAATCTAAAATATAATTTTTAAAATGATCTCCTATTTTCCAAGTGTTGTTATGATACATTTTAAATAGAAAGGTTATGATATTGTCTGTATTATTTTTAGTGTTTTGAGGGATAACCCTAAAAGGAATTTGCAAAGCCAAAGGATTGGCTTTGCCAACATATTTAAAATTAAAATATTCTGACCCAAAGTCTATCAGTGCATTTACTTTGATTGGTGCTCATCTCGGGTGCTTGCTTGTAAAAAGGTCATATTTATATTGCACAACATTTCCAAAATTCATCTAATTTTTTAGAGGTTGTACCACAATGGCTAGTTTAGAAACCAATTGTAGCAACATATTAAGGCAATTCCTTAAGAAAACAGAATCTGATAGACTGATATGGACATATAGAGAAGGTCCGATTCCTTGTGAAGTATCTGGAGTGATGAAGACCAAGCAAAGTTTCTTCACTGGTTATTCCTGGGCTACAATTAAATCCTTTCTGCTGAATCTATGGGTGGCCTCAACCGTTCTTGCTTTTAGGAAGCAAGTAAAAGTGGTACTAATTTTTAATTGTAGAGCCTAATCGTGTCTGGACATCTATCATAGCTGTTAGAGCTATATTGCAATACACTGTATTCTGTTGTATTGGGTTGTGTGGTTTACTTCCTAGAATCTGTATGGATTTGAGTAACCTGAAAATGCTTTCTATAAATACTTTTTTAAAAGACAAATCTCAGATGCCAACTGGTTTGATGATAAATATTATGAATGAAGGCGAATATACGTGTCCCAGGATAATGTTGTAGAATCCAATCTAGGTGGGTCACCGGGACCAGAGGTTTTTCTTCTGAGCTTTCAGACTCCTGCTGGAGGCCATCTTCAGGGAACATCTCTCCAGAATAAGCTAGCTAGAGAGCAGTTCTCTGAGGATGGGCCCCAGCGTGAGTCCGAAAGCTCGGAAGACGAAAACCTCTGGCCCTGTGACCCACCCAGATTGGATGTTGAGATAAACATTATTTTTGTCATTACTAGTTGCTTCTTTTTTTTCAGGCACCTTTCCCAAAAGTATTAATTTAGATCAGATTCTGCCCTGTACTCCTATAAGACTGTCTAATATAAATAATTATCTCAATTTCTTTCAAAATCCTTAACCTTTTTAAAATACATTGTTGAACTTCCTTCTCATTTAATTCTAAAAGGATTCCTACATTGATCATATGAATAGCAGCCGTTAGGTGCACAAGGATAACTTGGCCCACCCCCTTAAGAGATTGGTGCCCTCCCTGTCACACCAAAAGAGTGGCAGGAAGCCAACAGTTAGCAATTTGTTCTTCTATTAATTGTTGCTAGACAGATCTGGCATCATCTGGCTGTCTATACTATACTATACTATACTATACTATACTATACTATACTATACTATACTATACTATACTATACTATACTATACTATACTATACTATACTATACTATAATCTGTTACTATTATTGACAAAAATATTGCTGTCCATATAATCATGTATGATACAGATCTCAGGCTCTTCTTGACTTCTCAATTATTTTTGAGTGGGGTAGTAATTTTCATATAAAAAATTGAACTGAGCTAGGG